ACCAATGCGCAACAGCCACAACTCTCTCTCACCGAATCACTCGTCTCTTCAACACTATCCAGACTATCGCCAACCAGGGTAACAGCTTCCGAAAGTGTTTGCTTTGGAAGCTTATTGAAGGTGTTATAATACCTTCCACTATCTTCGACTGCGGTAAACTCTTCCAAAAGACTTGTATACCAATCTGGTCTCGTGCTTCTGGATTCAATTTCGGGAAAGCCAACTTGGTTAATCTATGGATCTCAGTCGAATGCCTGTATACATCACGTTTATATCTCAGCTTACACAGAGAACTGAACGCATGCTTAGGCGTCTCGCTGTATTGTTTCGTCAGCTCCTCTATAATGCCAAAATAAATCCGCTCGGGAGGTTCCTTAGGATCATTGTTGAGTCTCCTATTATACACTTCCCAAGGCTTATCCGATAAACATAAGCCCATAAATTCCAACAACTCCTGATAGGGTAACCTCAACAGCTTAGCGCGGCCTTCAAATTTCGATCTCCATTCCTCAAATGTCTGCTTCTTCGGGTCGTATGGAACCATTGCTTTCGTTATCGCAAGGGCTCTCCCCATCTCGGTCGAGCCCGCATTTCTCATCTTCAGAACTTCATTCTGTAATTCCGCTATCTGAACCTCCATTCTTGTTGTATTCTCAGCAGCAACTCTTGCTGCCTCCTCTTCTTGAACTTGCCCATTACGAGCCTGCTGGCTCTCAATTTCCATATCCCCATCGGTAACTCTGGTGTGCTCACCAGTTGTATCAATCTCTTGTTCACTCATAATGTGTCTGGGCACCACTTGTTGTACTCCAAACTCAACAATAACCGATGAGGGTTGAATGACTATATGAAAACAATGGGAACGAGAGAAGGGACAATTGTGTTAGCTACAGAGAGAGGAAGAATAAAGACACTCATTGTGCAAGCGCATCATCACAGGCCAATACCGTCGCTAACATACTAGACAGGGTGTTCTTGGAACATGGGAGTCCCGCAGCACTACTCACCGACCATGACCGTACTATACTATCTAGTGAAGCCGTTAAACTGGTATTGGCACGACATGGCACTAAACACTATGTACTGCCAGGTTACTCCTATCATTTGGGATTTTGGGAGTAGCCCCTCTTTACTATGATTGTCAACTAACTACTGTGACGGATTACTACATTCCGATAGCAATTTTTCATGCTTATCAGAGGTTGTACACCTACTACAAGACCATCTTCCTCAGTGTCATCACTCGTGAAGCTACTAATGCTGGAGACTACGATACCCTTGTCGAACTCAAGTCACTAGGAGAAGTCTTGTCTACTGCATACTACAAGCATGAGTTCTTTATTCAACTATTGGCCGCTGATACTACTGAGGATCTGGTCCGTATCGAAGCACTACGTATCTGTGAGCTAGAGTGCTACTACGGTCCTTCCGGTGAAGTCGATACTAGTATGACGAACTAGATGATGATGATCGATGCAAGTTAGACTAGATTATTTGGATAGCTGTGATAACTACCCCCTTTTTTTTGTTGACTACTGCTATATTTTTTTTGATGATTATCGGTAGTACTAATTATCGGTATGTACTAGTTTATGATGCAACTATCTATGGTACTAATACCACTAGCATTGCTAGCAATACTAGTGTATTAGCGTGGCCAATGCGCGGCCTGGCAGCCGCGGGCGCGAACGCCCAGGATATGCGCATCTAAAACTGTCAGCCGTTTCATTTGAACTACTATGAGTATTGCAGAGAGGAACTAAAGTTTTACTAGAGATTGATTATTCGGATTATCGCTTAACTACTCGTTGGCTATAGACCGATTGATCCTCTAGTGTCTGCATTAGACTCTGTGATTGTGACTAGTAAGACCACTACTAGCATTTGAGCCACTACTACTAGGACTATGGACTACTATTGCTCAAGCTATAGAAGCGTGCCTTTGTGTTCGACTAGTGGTTTGGTCTACTCGGATTCAGTTCTTACGCGGCAAAGTTCCTCCCGACCTACTAAGCCTCCGCCGAGCCGCGCAGAAGTGGGAAAGTTGCGAAACGTGCTTTACTTCGCTCCGCCGTGCCATAGCTAAAGAGCGAGGTCACGCCGAGCTCTCATTACAATACTTTGTTGATCCCTTTCTTGTTCACTCTGCTGTGAACCTGTCATCAGTCGTCACCAATACCACTAGCCTAGCCTACCTTACACCATCTTACGAAGACTTGAGTTGTTAGCAGAGAACAAGAACAGCCTCAAGGCGCCACTCAGCAGCTTCAACAGATAAAACCTCTTTTATTATCAACCGATACGCGTAATGGATCTTAACGTTTCCTGATATGGAGGGGTCTTGCAGTAAAAAAAGGCTTGATTCTACCTAAGCTGAGTATTTGTAAGGAGTTTCATACGAAGACTTCGTAACGAAGTTTATAAGCTTCAGATAAGTATCGAAATTGGTAAAGAGTTTTGTTAATAGCTGTAAGATTTTTGTTTAAGTTACAAATTAATTTAAGAATGTACTTGCAGAGTT